CTCCTTTTTCCTTCTTTCCTCTCCTTTTTCCTTCCTTCCTCTTTTCCTTCCTTTTCTCATCTCTCTCTCTCTCTCTCTCTCTCTCTCTCTCTCTCTTTCCCCTTCATTATCACCACCACCACATCATCATCATCATCTTACTGTTCAATGCATTATTTATTTATTGGCTCATTCATTCAGATTTTGGGCCAGCCAACGTCCAGTGGAGTTTGGGCCACACACAAAACCGAAGAAGGCAGACAACTCAACAACGCATCAACTGGGCACAAAGTTTGGCAACTGTCGCCGCTTCTCCGTCCGCCCATCCCATCCCGTCCGCCGCCGCAGCGCCCGAGAGAGGCGGCCGTAGGACCGGCGGTTGATGGCCCCGAGAGGTTTCCACCACCGGCCCCGGGGAGCCCCCGACCGTACCGGAGGCGTCGGAGGGGAGGCCGGCAGACGCGGAGGAGGCTCCCCGTCTGTTCCGCGGGAAAGGGAGCGGGTGGGACTCGCGCGCTGGGCGACTCCCTCCCGAGCGGGGCGGAGGTGGGCGGCTCTCTCCGGCCCGGCGGCTTCGCTCCTTCAACGTTTCAATGGCGGCGGCGGCGGCAGCGGCGAAGAGACGATGCGCTGCCGCCCTCTCCTGGCCGGCGGGACGGAACGGAGGAGGAGCGCGGAGGGGAGCCGGGACCGGTCGGCGGGTCAAGGCGGAAGGGAGGCGCGCCGGGCAGCGCTTGCAACTCGGCAGGAAGCAGGTTGTCCGAGGCGCCCCGCCCCGCTGGGTTCCTCTGACCTTCATGGAAAGTCTCCCTTAGGTGGAATGGGCTCCAAGACCAAGTGGGAATCTCAAGCAGTCAGTTCTTTCTCCCTCCCTCCCTCCCTCCCTTCTTTCTTTCCTTTCTTTCTTTCTTTCTTTCTTTCTTTTCTTTCTGCTTTCGTACTTCCCTCCCTGCCCTCCTTTTCCTTCTTTTCTCTCTTCATTTTCTTCCTTCTTCCTCTCCCCTTTCTTTCCATTTCTCCCTCCCTCTTTTTCCTCCTTTCCTCTCTTTTTGTACATCTCTATCTACCTATCTATCTATCTGTCTATCTCTATCATATGAATCATCTATGACTATAATATGAATCATCTATCTATCTATCTATCTATCTACCTACCTACCTACCTACCTACCTACCTACCTACCTACCTACCTAC